GTTAACGACAATACAAGTCAAATTCCACACAATGGGAATTAACTTCACCAAAACAATGCATATGCACACACATCACTAGCATGCAACATCAAATCAGTCTATGAAATACATCAATTTATCATAACTGAACCAAAACCAAAAACATGATATCTCAATGATCATGCACACCATCATTAGCAACATAAACATGCCTTTCATTCACACAATACTAATACATCCATCCATCACAGGTTCACTGCTACATACACACCCATGTGCGTTAGCCAATAATCACTTATTCCGGGATTTGACTCATTTTCAAAATAATTTCAGGTTTTAGGAAATCTTTTCATTTTATAAAATAGAGCATTAAATTTAAGAAATAACATCCAAAACGGCACTCAAAACGGACTTACGGTTTGAAAGTTATGAATTTTCAAAGTTTAATATTTTTCAAAAAGTTACAGCAGAACCCGGTTCCTACATATGCAGGAACCGGTTCCTGCGAAGTTCAAAAATCATACTTCTGGAAAAATGTATGGGAACCCGGTTCCTACCTATACAGGAACCGGTTCCTACGTGCATTTTTGCCAGTTTTTATAAATTCACATAGTGGAACCCGGATCCTCCCCACTGGGAACCGGTTCCCACGACCTGCAGAGTCAAATTCTGCACTTTTGACAGCATTTATTTATTCTAAACCAATTCCAAATATACCCATACGAATTGCAACATGAGAAACACCAAAACACATCCATTTTGCACCATTATAACCCCAAACAACATTATTTCATCATTCCTTTTTATCATATGACACCCTAATAGTTTTCAACCTACAATTCGACGCAATAGGGACAATTCTACGGAACCCTAGAATTCCAAACCGGGATTCCCTAACATACTATGATCCATACTATTGAATATCTAAACCGATAATACGAATTAACTAATCAAAATCACCCCTTACCTTGTGGGTTCTTCGAATTCTGACGCTTCCGATTTTCTCCTTCTTTTTCCTCTTCTCAAATGCACGTATGATGAATATTCCAAAATAACTCTCTTTCTCTTCTTTTTCCTTTCAATACTCCTTTTATTATTCCAATAGAATAATTAAATTAGTAATTAGTAAGAGTAGAGTATTTTACCCCTCACACCCTCTAATCACTCTTCACACCACCAATACTTCTTTCCTTTAATTAATTAAATTAATTCCATTAATCCAAAAATACCAATAATTAAATTTCCAATTAAATTAATAATTAAAAATTATAATTATTTAATAATCGGATTATTTGGGGTGTCACATACACCAGAAAATATACTCTTGATCATAAATGTTCCTTTGTATGTAGGAGTCCACTTGCCCCTGGGATCACCTTGTGGCGGGATGATGCGCTTGATTACTAGGTCACCAACCTAATATATCTGACGTCTGACCTTCTTGTTAAAAGCCTTGATCATACGTTTCTGGTACATCTGACCATGACAAACAGCCGCGAGCCTCTTCTCGTCAATCATGTTCAATTGGTCAAGTTGATTCTGAATCCATTCGTCTTCGTTTAAACCTGCATCCTTCATAATTCTCAAGGAAGGGATTTGGACTTCGACGGGTAAAACAGTTTCCATATCGTACACGAGAGAAAAAGGGGTTTCCCCTGTTGATGTGCGTACTGAGGTATGGTAACCGTGAAGTGCAAATGGTAATATCTCGTGCCAGTCTTTATATGTTACCGTCATCTCCTGTATAATCTTCTTTATGTTCTTATTGGCAACCTCCATATCACCATTCATCTTTGGCCGGTAAGGAGGAGAGTTATGACGCTGGATCTTAAATTTCATACAGAGCTCAGTGATTATAGTATTATTGAGGTTGGTACCATTATTTGGGATAATTCTTCTGGGATACCATACCGACAGATAAGATTATGTTTGATGAACCGAGCCACGACGTTCTTGGTAACAGAAGCAAATGAGGCTACCTCGAACCACTTTGTGAAGTAATCAATGGCAACGAGAATAAAGTGATACCCATTGGAAGCGATATGTCTAATCTCTCCAATCATATCAATGCCCCACATTACGAACGACCAAGGAGCAGTCAAGACATTTAAGGGAACCAGAGGCAGATGTACTTTGTCAGCGTAGATTTGGCATTTGTGACAAATTCAAGAGTGATGATGACATTCTATCTCCATAGTGGACCAATAGTAACCTGCCCTTAGAATCTTCTTAGCCATCCTGTGCCCACTAGAATGGGTGCCAAAGGTACCTTCGTGCATATCCTCCATAATCTTTTCTACTTCTCTCTTGTCCACACACCAAAGTAAAGTGGAATCATGGTTGCCCTTATAGAGAATTCCGCCACTGAGGAAGAACTTGGTAGAGAACCTTCTTGTCATTGATGTATGCCCCCTTAGGGTTCTCTTGGGCTTCAAGATGCCTTTTCACTTTGTGGAACCAAGGCTTTTCCTGTACTCCCTCAGTATCAATCTCATAACAATACGTTGGTTCGTCTAATATTTCAATAGTGATCGAATGGGACAACATCCCTGTAATCCTAAAATGACGTCCATTTAATGTTATCGTGATTAGTATGATCAAGATACACCCGGTAAGGAGATACTTTATGATTCCCTTTGTGGAAGACATATTTTTCAGCCCTCGACATGTCGTCACTATAAGATGGATCACGCTTGAAACCATAAATGTGGTGGAAGTAAGAGATTATCCAGCTCAGAAACAACAATCAGATAATATGTAAGTACAAATCATAAAAAACAAATTAAATGTAATAGTTGAAATGAAAGGTACCGTGAGGAGTGTGCAAGAGACAGTGAGTTGTCTCGTCCTCCAGTTTGAAGCTTCATTCAGCTTCTCATAGAGGTATACCAAAATGGCGGTCCCCTAGTTCCATTCACGAACTGTAGTCAAATCTATAAAATGCCGGAGGCATGTCACATCTACGTAGTAAGCACTTTTTTCCACAAAGAGGGACATGCCAACCAAGAACATGAAGTAACACTATAAAGCACAATCTTTGTGGTACTGAATAAAACCATATCATCGTCATCCTCGGCCCATGCTGCTGCAACCAGATGTTTTTCATATAGTTCCTTCAGGGAGGGAAAATTTGCATGCAACCCATTAGTGCTTCAGCAATCCTCAACTACCTTATATGGATCAGTTCCTAGATACTCGACCATCCATTCAACGACCTCAACTCATGGTACCCTGTGATGGTTAAGTAACTTCCCTCTGATAGATAGGTGGAGCAAACAAGCAACATCTTATAGTGTGATTGTCATCTCCTCAATAGGAAAGTAGAAAGACGATGTCTCCTTGTGCCACTTCTCGGCAAATTCCTCTACATATCGTGGCTTATAGTATTATAACCAGTACAACATAGTGTGGCAAGTCCGGATCCAACAACGACCTCTTAGAACTAAGCAACCGCGGGTATAAACGATTCACATATTTTCTGCAAGTGATTCACAAACTTAATGAGCAATCGTTCCTGTAATAAAAAAAGTACTGTTAAATTATTATTTGTGAGTAAAACATTAAAATGATAAAGTGCAACAAAAAATATATATGTTTATCCCAAACATTGTCGAGTGGCATGACCATTATAATATATCAAGAGGCAGGTGTCATAAGGCCCTCTTGGATAATCGATGTTTGCCTCCTCGGGTACCTCACCCCCTCGGGTACCGCAAACTCCTCGAAAACCTCCATCTTATCGGGTATCTGCTCATGCGCACGAGATGTAGACACCTAAGACAAGCGACTCCTCGATGTAGAAGTAAAACCTCCAGGCAATTCCTCCCATCGTACCCGACCCCGTCCTCGAGGCCTGTTAACCTGCTGCTCAGCTCTCTCTCGACGAGTATAAACAATCTGGCTTGGTCTGCCTTATTTCAATCGATTGTTCGGGTCCTGGTTGCCAGTCATCTTCCTGAAAAATGATAATTGTTAATATGATGATTTTAAAAAAAACAACTCAGACAAAAATTCAGATGTGCATATTTGAAACTGATCAAGGGGAAATTCAGATGTGTACATCTGAAACCACTTGCGAACAACCATTTTCAAGTAGCTTATTCTTTTTTCCCTAAATCATCCAAATACACTTTTTTGTCACCCAAACACCAACATTTATCTATTCTAACATCAACCTACACAATGTCATTGACTCTAACTAGCCTAATAAATTATTATAGCATTGCACAACGAATCAAATGAAAATGGAGAAAACTTACACAAATTTTAGAACTTTGGAGATGAGTTAGAATGACTTGAAAAAAGTTGAAATGAGGAAATGAGTAGAAATGACTCGGTTATTCAAGTTTGGGTAGTAGAAATTAAGGATTTGGAGTAGAAAATTGAAAATTTTGAATTTGTAAAGAAATGAGTATGTTATGTTCGTGATTTTGAAAACAATTCAATGACTTCAGATGTGCATATCCGAAGTGATACATTATGGATTGAATTCAGAGATGCACATTCGAAATTACATTTTTTGACAAAATAAAATTACTTCTAATATGCATATGCAAACACACATGTTATTATCAAATATAATGCGTTCGAATATGTATATCTAAATTCATTTTAAATTTTTCGTCAAAAATCTAAAAGAAAGTACTAGATATAAAGAGAAATTCTCATCTTCACACCATTGCCAATACTACTGGTTCTGTGTTAGATTTTTGGCGGCCCATAACACTACTATAGTAACTAAATATATGTTTATGAAGTTGCTAATTGCACAATCTTTTTTTAATACACCGCCATAAAAAAATTAATTAAGAGGTTTTAAAAATACATTTTATTTTATTTAGAAGTTAATTTCCAACATGCATTATAATTTCAAAACATAACATTTAGAATTATTAAATAAATTACAAAAAAAAAAATTAAAAAATTAAAAGCTCTCGGAAACACAATTGGGGTGTAAATAGAAACATCCCATTTATTTACTAGCAACAAGCCCAAAGCATGAAGCTGTTAGTATCCAAAAAATGGCGCCTGTGGCAGCGAGAAGCGCCGGCGCCGTTGGTGCCGGAACCGCCATCTTACTCTCTCTCGCCGTCGCGTATTTCTTCTGCAATTCATCAAAAAACAACAAGAAGAAGAAATCAAAGAATGGAATCCTTTCCGCCATCGGTAACACTCCTCTGATTCGAATCAATAGTCTCTCCGATGCCACTGGTTGCGAAGTAATCCCTTTTTCAATTTTTTGTTTGTTCACTTGCATGCCCTAATTTTTATAGTATTTGTTGTTATAACTCTTCTGTTTACTCTTTAGATTCTTGGCAAGTGTGAGTTTTTGAACCCTGGAGGGAGTGTCAAAGATCGCGTTGCAGTTCAAATTATTGAAGAGGTAATTAAAGTTCTTTTAAGATAATACTAGTTGAATTGTTGTTGAAATTGGCTTTTTAATGTCTGTTATTTTATTTTCCTGCATAATCGATTAGGATTAGGCCATGTTTGGATAAACAATTAAATTTGCAGCTTAAAGCATGAGTACTTAAGTATTAAGTATTCCTATAACAAAAGTTAAGTTATTTTTTGTATAATATATAAGTTGTTTTCATAAGCTATCTTGAATACCTTGTGAAAATAAGTATGAACATATCATAGGCTATATATTCTTAAACTTTGTTGTCTGGCCTGTCCGTGTCCAACAGGTGTCGGTGTTCAATATGACACGAAACATCTGATTACAATCAGTTCAATTTATTCATTTTTAGAAATTACTATTGTGTCGTGTCCAGCGTCCGTATATCTGTTCGAGTTTTATAATTCATAAGTTCTCCCTAACAATCTCTCAAGTGTTTAACTGTTATCGAATAACGGCCATGACGGCACTATGGAGGACTTATGTGGCAGTTTTTGGGCCTGCAGCAATGGTAAAATTGACCAATATTGCGAGTTTTTCCGCCATAATCTGCTATGATGGCGCCGCAAAGCAACTTGTATGGTGGGATTTTGACTCTACCATAAATCGCCGTCCACCATCAACAATACTGATGCCAATAGACAAACAGAAATAAACCTATCCAAACAGCTCCTAGTTTATAAAGGATTTTATTTTTCAAGGGAAACTCATAATTCCATTTTAACCTTTAAGTTCTTAATTGCATACATATACAAGTTAATTTAAACCGAATCAAACTTTAGCTCTAGCCTTTCGGAGAATTGGTGCCCTACAATTTTCTTGTCAAAAGAGGATTATCCAAGTTTGGGTCATTTCATTTTTTTCAGACTCGTTGGTCTTTATTTATCACTAATGTATGGCTTTTGTTTCATAATTCCTGTGATTTGATTGAGCAGGCTTTAGAATCTGGGCAGCTACGTAAAGGTGGTATAGTTACTGAAGGGAGTGTCGGAAGCACTGCCATTAGCTTTGCTACTGTTGCTCCTGCTTATGGATGCAAATGCCATGTGGTTATTCCAGATGATGCTGCCATTGAGAAGGTATATATGTTCAATAATTATTATCAAGTAACTCTATTATGCTTTGCCTTTGCTTATAGTCTAGCTATAGCCTGTAGTTTTTGTATATGATGATTATCTTTTGCAAGGAGCTAATGTATATTTTCTCCAAAGCTGAACTTGAAACTCCTTTGGATTTAACATAAGCCAAAAACTCCGTAGAGCACTTGTCTCTTCCTCGCTTTTTGTTTTGTTTTGGGTTGTAACTAGTAAGAAATTCGTACTATCGCACGAGTCCCGTCTGGATTCACATGTCTACTAAACTATCATTTATAAAGTATGAATTCATTATTCAATTGATTAACATTCAAATAATTACAAATATAGGTTAATAATATGCACCAACTTTTAAGTCTTGATCCGTACTTATAATAATCGTACTTATAATAATCCGTACAACCGATTCTTTAACTTCAATTATATAAAACAACATCAAAAAAAAGATTTAAAAGATGAACATTAAAATAACAGTCTACAACTGATATCTTATAATACGTTTACATCTACCCGTGTAAAAACAATACAATTATTTGATACTATATAAACGCTTAGAATCCTTGTGTGTTTATAAAAGTATATGTAACTTATTTCTATTTATAAAAATAATCTGCTAAGAAGGAAGTATGCCAATATAAAATTGATTGAAAGCAAATATTTAAAAAACTTGTTGAAGTGAATACATATTTTCCCGTTTATAAAAATATTTGTACCAACTATATACTTTTTCCCGTTTATTAAGATATTTGTATCAACGATACACTTTCTCTCAATTATAAAAATATTTGTATCAACAATAGATTTTTTTTTCAATTATAAGTTTTTTTGTATCAATCGTACACATTTTCCGTTCATAAAAAATAATGAATCATTCCAGCAAAACCAAATTAATTTAGTTGTTTTTACTTAAAAATATCAAGGTGTAGTCTAGGGTGAGGGTTCAACTAAATCTTTCATCGGTGAAACTCAAAATAATTATCATTAGATTTAATTGATGGTCAAGATTTATTATATTTAAAAAAGAGAACACATACTCATTTCTACAGCTAATTTTTTTTAACTTTCTCAATTTGTGAGTTGTGTCTTTATCTTCAAAGTTATATTACCATTAAGCAATTTTTACAGTTGTGTCTTTATCTTCAAAGTTATATTACCATTAAGCAATTTTTACAGAGATAACCTTCTTTCAACCTAATTTTAATTTAACTATGAGGAGAATCTATTCGTTGGTAAAATATATCCAACTAAGAATTGATGTGTGGGAAGAACACTAAAGGGATTGATTAAGAAAATATAACCCTTTTTAGCTTTTGCACTTCTTCACCGCGTCAGTTTTACTTTTGCATCGAAAAGTCCAATCTTCGATGCTTCAATGTTTCATTGTTTGGTTTGGAACAAAAAATTATACTTATTTCATAATAAATTGTTCGTATAATGGACAATTATTATGTTATGTAATAATAGTAAGTAAGTAAAATACTAATTGTCGTGATTCTTTATCAACCATTTTAATGAATCTATTCGGAATCTAATGCACTTATATTTTGAATGGTATTCGTGCAGTAACCGAAACATTTTAACTTACAACAAGTGATAAGAGAGAAAGAGAAATAGGGATAAGATTGTAAGTGAAAGGATGTGTGCTTTCTTTTTATTTTCAATAAATCTAACATCAACTCTCCCACAGAATAGCCTTTTACGTTCTTGTTTTTTTGTGAAAACCTCTATCACACAAAAAGACTCTCTTCCCCACGTTTTTATTTGCCACCATAACAACACAAATACTAAGACCAATAACCACAAAAGTCTAACCATAAACTGTAACAATTACACCAGTAACCATACCTTTCATACTACCCATAACCAACACTACCTAAAAACAATGTCCCTCAAACCAATTCAAATCAACTATCACTTTGATAAAGTCAAACAACCCGTAGAGAATTTTCAATTAAACCTCCCAAAACTCCAACTTTCATCCAAAAAAGAAACCATTGACAAATCTGTAATGTTTTTCATAATACACACTTTCACACCCTGTTTCGTAAAAAAAAAAAATTGAAAAAAATGCATCAACAACTATTCACACTAACAGAAATCTTTTTTGATAGCAGAGAAACATCAAACTATTCTTCTCTCATCAACAATATTATCATTAACTTTTGCAATTCACAAATCCAGCAATAACAGTAACATGAACATATAGATTCAACAACACAACAAATTTAGTTTTTTCGATTCCCGCTGCGAAAATTGAGTCTGAACACCCTTTTCCTCTGCTTCAGCCATCCACCATCACTCTGCACGACCACCTTCTGACAAACTGCTGCCCTCAACCACGTGTCCAGGCCACCGCACCGTCCGAAGACCCACCTGCAACGTCACCTTGACCGTCCAACCAGATCCCCAATCAGAACCGCCCATGTCCGTCACCACCATGGTTCTCCGCATCGGATCCGCTGGCCTGCGTTCAAACAATCTCCAGCAATATCCTTCCCCTTTCAATTTTTTAGTGTATCCAGCAATATAATGTATCTTAAATCGATTTGTTGGTAAATTTCAATTATCTTGCCCGGTGTTGTTTGGAATTCTGTGATGGAAGAATTTGGAACGAAAGAAAAAAACAAATCATAAATTCCATTGTATTCATCTAAACACGACAAAAACAGTCTCAATAAATAACAAACAAATCGATTTTAAAAATTTCTAAAAAATAAAACGAAAATCAGATGGGTGACCGGAAACGATTATGGTGGTGGTTGTAATGGAAACGAATGCAGAAGTTTTCGGTGATGACATCTGAGTTTCGAAGGGAAGTTTCGCCAGAGCAGATTTAGAGGTGGTTTGCAACTGCTGCGCTTTCGGAGGTGGTAGTTGAATCGGTAGGGTTTCGTGTTTTTGCGTGGTGGTTTGTGGTAGCGGTCCAGAAACAGAAAAATGTAAACCGTGCTGGTGAAACAAATAGTTGTGAAACGGTGGTCTGATGATGTTTTGAAGAAGAAATAGAGAGGCAACTTCTCAGTCTCTATGTGACTTCTGTGTTATATGCTTTGAAGTTGATGATGAACATGGGAAGTAGTGAGACTTTCCATTGTCCAATAAATGATTATGGTTTTTCCAGGTTTTCATACGTTGCTTTGAAGTTTAATAGACACTTCCATATTTAATTAGAGATTAAAATCATTATAAAATAAAATCAAAATCAAAATGGAAAAATGTAGGAGTGACACCTAAGTAACATTAAATATCAAATGAATAATATTGAAGCAATGGTTGAAAAAGTCACTTGTAACCCTGACATCAGAAAAGTTTTAACGTGAAGTCAATAGGGTATTTGTGGTTTTTCCAGGTATTTTTGTTTTTATATATTTATAATAGATTTGTTGGTGGAACAAAATGATTGAACAAAAATTAATTTAAGGGTTAACACAAATATGTCTTCTCTGGTAGCTTTAAAAATATTTTCTGTTGTGGCTGTAAATTGTCTGCGTGGATATTGTAACTTTCTCGTACTCTTTCTATATTTCCTTCTTAGTCTTTCCACTTTATTTCTTTGTTTGCTGAGGCGTTTCATTTATTCTATTTGAATCATACTTCAGTCTCAAATAATTGAAGCTCTTGGGGCAAATGTTGAAAGAGTACGGCCAGTGTCAATCACTCACAAAGACCATTTTGTCAATATTGCAAGAAGACGGGCAACTGAAGCAAACGAGTTTGCATTTAAGCATAAAAAATCACAACCGAATGGCACGGACTCGCAGCAAATAAATGGTTATAAATCTGACGGACACGACCACAACTCACTCTTTCCTGATGATTGTCAAGGCGGCTTCTTTGCTGATCAGTTTGAGAACCTTGCAAACTTCAGGGCCCATTACCATGGTACAGGACCTGAGATCTGGGAACAGACAAATGGAAAGTTAGATGCATTTGTTGCAGGAGCAGGAACTGGTGGTACTGTGGCTGGTGTTTCCAAGTTTCTTCAGGTTCATCTCTTCTTTTCTTAATGTTTTTAATATTGTCGTTTTGATTGTAAAAGTTGCCTGAATTTCATGTTTTATGCTCAACAGGAAAAGAATCCAAACATCAAGTGTTACCTCATAGATCCACCTGGTTCTGGCTTGTTTAATAAGGTAACGAGGGGGGTAATGTACACTAAAGAGGAGGCAGAAGGACGGAGACTTAAGAATCCATTTGACACTATAACAGAAGGAATTGGAATTAACAGGCTAACAAAGAATTTTGCAGAGGCAAAACTTGATGGGGCCTTTAGAGCCACAGATATGGAGGCTGTTGAAATGGCCCGGTCAGTCTTTACTCTTTGTTAAGCCATTGTACTTCTTTTAATCTTGAAGACTTTTTGTTTGTTTCTTGTTCCCTTTCATATGTGGCATCTGGAAAAAATGATAAATGGATTGGACTATTGCCCTAATATTTTCGGTTTTTGTGTTTGTTTTAGGTTTCTTGTGAAGAATGACGGGCTTTTTCTTGGGAGCTCTTCTTCATTGAACTGTATTGGAGCAGTTAGAGCAGCTCAATCATTAGGCCCTGGTCACACAATTGTAACCATTCTGTGCGACAGTGGAATGAGACATTTGAGCAAGTTTTGTAATGATCAATACTTGTCTAAGCTTGGTTTAACACCTAAAGCAACTGGATTAGAGTTCTTGGGTATCAAATGAGTATGCTCTTTCACAGAATGCAAGGAGTTCATACTTCATTACCAAGGTGTGCAATACGAGAAAACCATGAGAGAAGCCAACAAGTCCATCATGCTTATGGTGTTATATTTGATTGAAACATTGTTGGGGGCATGATACGGTTCATTCATGGTTAGATTATACTATTATTTAGACAATTACTGAATGAAGACCTAGTTTTTTTGCCGAAGCCGGAGACGACCTGTTAGTAATAGTTTGCTCAAATTATTTGAATATGAAGCAAATAGTTTTCATATCATTACTGTATTTTCCTGGAGATATCAATACTGTTATGCTGGTTTTTTTTTAATGCATGCACAATTCAAAAATTAGGACAATTGGTACGTTTATGAGCATACATTAGTAATGTTTAATGCATGTGTGCTTACAAGTTACAACAGTGATTGATAAGCATAATTGACTCAACGAACTAAATTTAATTCAAAATTTTAATGCCTATATGCATACAACAGTGATTACTACTAAACACATGTTACACCATTGATAATCATTGTGCTCATTTTTTAAAAAGTTATGAAAACTCAAATATCAAAGTTTGATTCATTTTCTAGAAAGTTATGAAAACTCAAATATCAGTGTTAGAATTTTCTTTCATCAAATTCATTTAATGGTCAAATCTCAGACGTTTTAGGTCGGATGGCAAAACTACAAGAACTCATTCTATATTCAAATGATTTAGAAGGACATTTTATCTTCAGTATTCAACTTGACTCAAATTGTTACATTAGATTATTCTTGTAATAAACTAGAGGGTCCTCTAGTCAACGAAGTTAGAGGGTTCCAAAAACTAACGTATTTGAATTTAAATAACTTTCCAAATGGAACAATTCCTTCCAACTGCTTATCTTTGCTATCTTTAGTATGCTTAAATCTCTCAAATGATAAATCTCATCATATTCTTTAAATACACTATATCTATGTGGCAACAAACTACAAGGAAATATTCCATAATCCATTGTTAATGCTCTAAACTGAACTTTCTTATGTCATCATCAAACAACTTGAGTGGTCTTGTCAATTTTCATCGGAGACTTCATGAACTTAAAGGACTTAACATTTCCCATAACAGGCTCACCGATCCTATTCCTAAATCCATTGGATCTCCCGTCTATTTAAAAAAAGTTTGATGTGAGTGTGACAATCTTGTCACTCTTATTTGATCTTTGCTAGTTTGATTTTGGGTTATAAGATTGTCATCTGAAATGTGTTCTGTTTTGTATGTGCATGCCTCAACATGTGTTAACTGAAGAGTGGAAACCAAAGGCTGCGGTGGTTGATGACAAACATATTAACTGAAGATTGAAACACCAGTTAAATCATACTATAACATCTATAAATTAAAGGAAATTATTGAGAAATTTGCGTGCGGAGATATGTAATTTAGATAAAAAAAACATTAGCATACCTGGAGCACTGATGGTATGATAAAATTGTCCGCCTCTAATGCGCACAATTAGATTTTCACTACATCTTCAGGCAATTGTTGTTAGTGAACTGTATAGTATTGCATTGTTGGCATAGGATCCAGTTGCAGGAAAAGCGATGTGATAACTGCCGCTGGAACATGTTTTTTATGAAGTGATCATGGACTAATTATTAAGAGTTTTAGAACTTCTAATTTAAAAGATCGTGGCACAAATATGCTAAAGGACCAAAGAGATCAAATAGGATAAAAATAACTTATGCTAAAGAACCACATAGATCAAATAGAATAAAAAAGAACTTGTTATAGATCAAACCGGTGAATATTGAGAAGAGACGATCAACATAACAACTACCAAAAATCAGCTTCGTAAGTATGGCTCAAAAGTCGAAAGTCACATTACCAGAACTATGAATATGCTGACTTTAATTCAAAAGATGCCAACCATCTATGAAAAGCAAAACAACATATAGAAATTGCATAACACAAATGATTTAATCAAAATACACATGTCTCTCCTTTAACAACTCCAGTCAACAAAGTAATAACAATTGTATAAAATGATTTGCATTTCTTAAAGCAATAGTAATAACAATTAACAATAATCTTGAACCTTCCGTAAAAAGAAAACAATAATGTTAAACCTATTCATGACAACAATGCTACATATCCACAACTAATTTGTTATCGTCCTCAACAGAATGTGTATTGGAAAATTACAACGGTTAGTGAACTAACAAAACAAACCCCACCATCTAAGTCATTCATCCAAGGTTGCATATATATTGAACTACCCAAAAAGATTGTTGAACTCGCTTCACATTCAATGAAATCCACCTCCCCACCAACCTAAGCAAGTTGTATCCTATTTTTCGACTACATTATCAGTTACCAGTAATCACCACATGAGCAAACCCCGTGACGAAAATGATGAAACCGATTTATATCCCTGATAATAATTTCTCGATGTACAATTTTCGATATCAACTTTACAACTGCATGACAATCTACACATATTCGAAGATTTTTAATAATGCGAATAGCACATGCATGCGGAGTCTGAGTTAGTCCATAAGCCAAGGCCAGTCTCTCACTATGTACCCACAGGTGTCGCTCTTTTTCATCATCCTCTACATCAAGCAAAACAGCATTGCAATCAGGAACATACCCTGCATCCCTGGTTTTCTTGTTTAACCATTCAAGCATCGCACATATTAGTTTAATGTCAGGATGAGAAGTGTCCCCCACAGAGAAATAGTGAACAACACCTTGGTTCTCAACCCAGCTTAAGCCAGGTTCTTTCTTCACTTTTTTCTTTTGCATATTTTTCCTAACAAAAGCAACATTGTCCCATCTCCCCGCAGTGGCATATATGTTTGACAGAAGTACATGGGTCGCATCATCACGTGGCTCCATTTCAAGTACATGTTGGGCACAAACTCTTCCGAGATCAACTTTCTTGTGGATAACACAAGCACCGAGCAATGCACGCCAAACCATTACACTAGGTTCATATGGAATTTCTCCAATGAGTTTCATTGCTTCATCCAATCGGCCCAATCTTCCAAGAAGCCAAACCATGCAAGTATAATGTTCTATACATGGCTCAATGCCATAGTCCTGTGACATTGACATAAAGTGAGATTGTCCTTTCAATAACAGTCCTGCATTGCTACACGCCGACAGGACACCAACAAAAGTCAGTTTATTAGGTTTGCAATCAGTTTGTTGCATCATGTCAAACAAATTTAGAGCCTCCGCACTCATGCCATGCATAGAATATCCACAGATCATAGCATTCCACGAAACTTCATCCCGTTTGTTCATCTTATCAAATGCAAGTCGGGCGTCATTGATTCTTCCACATTTAGCATACATGTCTATCAAAGAATTTGCGACCACAGTGTCCTTGTAATACATGGTTTTGATAGTTAAGGAATGAACCTGAAGTCCCGGGTCTAATGCCGCTAAACTAGCACAGGCACGAAGAACACTTGAGTATGTTACTTCGGTTGGCTGCATGTCATACTCAAGCATATATGAAAATAAATTCATTGCTTTCTCTCCATCCCCTAGCTGAACATAACCAACAATTATAGTGTTCCAAGTCACATCATTCCGATCCGGCAATTCCTCAAACAATTTCATGGAGTTCTCAATTTCACCACACTTAGCATAAACATCCATGATGGCATTTGACACAAACACGTTTGAGTTCAGACCAAATTTCAGCACACAAGAATGAATTTGCATTCCCAAATTAAGCAAAGCTAAAGAGGCACAAGCTTGTAGCACACTAGCAAATGTAAAATTATTAGGGAGGACAGATGTTTGCCTCATTCGAAGAAACAAATCCAAAGCCTCCTTACTTCTGTCACTCTGAGCGTACCGTGCTATCATCAGACTCCAAGGAATAAGATCATGTTTTGGCATTTCCTCAAAAAGCCGTTGCGCGTCAACAATCTCCCCAGACTTCGCATACAACTCAAGCAACGCAATGCCAACAAAAAGATCGTGATCATAACTACCTTTCAAAGCACATCCATGAACACTTTTCCCAACATTAAACGCCTCTAGACCAAGACAGGACTTAAGCGCACCCGAAATGGTGAAATTGTTGGGCCTGTATCCCATAGTCCTCATTTTATTGAAAAGTTGCAATGACTCCTCATAGAAACAATTCTCAGCATAACAAGCCACCATCCCAGTCCAAGACACCATATCCTTACAACAAATATCTTCGAAAACATGACGAGCAACATTGACATTTCCACAAACAGAATAAGCATCAATAAGGGCAGTCCCAACAAATGCATTAGCGTGATGGCCAAGCTTATAAACAGAAGCATGAAGTGTCCAACACAAGTGAGCCAAATCCATGCTTACCAGCAACTTGACAAGAGTAGTAAAAACAAATGGGTTCACCTCATGCCCTTCTCTGAATAACCTGTATTGAAGAAAAAAAACACATATCTTAGAATGTAACATTGAAGTGCATTTATACAATCAATCTCTATCTAATAACATGTGGCAAAGCTTCACACCTTTATTCTCCCGTCACTTCCCCCGGATTTATGCGCTCTTGCACGGGACCTTTACTAGTCTTTCTATCTAAGAAATGCGACATGTGCAGTCAGTGTAAATTAGTTTTACACTAACATCCGTCGCGGTTATTTTTAAATATGATTACAGAATGAGCTTATGTGGTAATATGATGAGTTCTCATTTGATGGATGTTGGTATAAAACTATTTTATACCAACATTACATCCCATCAAACTCTTGAATAGAAAAGGTTTAATGTAATGGTGACATACAGCAAAATTTGACACCTTTATTTTGAGCTATTTTTCACGCATTATATGTATACCTTTACTAGTAGTGTTAAGTTATTAAAAAAGAAAAGTTTACCTGAGAATGAAATGAAGGGCTTGATTGAATTGATGGGAACGTGAGTAGCCTTGAGCCAAGGTGACAAAAGTGATGGTGTTAGTTAGAGGCATTTCATCAAACAGTTTGGAAGCATCATGCAAGGATTTGGATTGAACATAAAAGTTAAGAAGAATGTTTTGAGCAAACAAGTCAAGAGAGGCGCCACGCTTGAGAATGTGGCAGTGGAGATGTTTTCCGGCGTTTGTGTCGGCGCCGTTTTGGATGATTTGTTGGAGCATGTGGGCGTAGGAATGGGAATCCAGAGCAGTAAGACATGGTTGGTGTTGGTGATGGATGTAGCGAGAGTGATGTAATAGTAGTGACAGTTTTGTTCTGTCACGAACTATACTCCTAATCATGTTTCATCGTATGTTTTTTCTTGTTTTCATTCGTTGCTTTGGAGTGAACCAAACATAAATAAACTAGTGAATTTGCATACTTCATTCATCTACTTTTTTAAGTGCTCAGCACTTAATCAATTACTTGAAGCATAGCTTTATTTTTTGTTGCATCAAATTTATGATTAAAGCTCAGGTAAGACTTTATTTGCTTACACAAATTATTTATCAAACTACAATATCTCAGTGTGATATCCTCACATATCTCTCCAAATACCACCTTCACATTGGCAACCGATACAAGAAATTAAACATTGAGCTTATACATTGAGCTTTAAACTCATTTTGAGAACAAATTTTTATTATAATAATTTAACTCGTAATTTTCTTGAAATAAAATATTTAAAAAGACATAAAAACAATTCTAATTCATTGTTTATTATAGAAATAATAAGATAAAATATAAATTAAATATAATTTATATTTAAATTTTACTTTTTTTTTTTACAAAAATTAGAAAAGATAAAAGATAGTTTTTTTTCTCTAATATTTTGGAATGTACAATTTTCAGTGACATTCATTTAAAGTATCAATTTAATTTGATTTTAATAGGAACTAAAACACTGTGGATAATAAAAAGTGAGGATTAAAAATAGAAGAATACTTTTATTTTAAAAAACTTCAATTAATAACTTATCCATAAACTGTTACTCCATAACAATCTTATTAAAACTAATCATAAAAAGGAATTAAAAATAAAAGAAAATTTTATAAAAATTGAAAACATGTTTAACTTTTATTTTACAAAGTTCAATTAACAATCTTGTTAAAACTAAAATCATAAAAAGGGTTTCAATATATAGACGCATAGTGGCCAACTCAAAATTTAGATTTTATTTTAGAACCTATCATTTTTAGTCTCCAACTCTTTTTGATGAACTGATGATCCAGAAACCCAAGAGATCATAACATTACAATTCCACCAGAAAACTTTAATGGTATGCATTTGTTCTCTAATTTTTACAACCTGTCAGCATTGGTGAAGAACTTTTCGCATCCCAACATAGATTCAAGGCGAAAATACCAAGGCAGGTATGCATTTGGTTGTCCCATCAATTGATCAAAAGTTGACAGAATGTAACTTTTCAAGCCAAAGGTTTCAAAATATAACTATATAGTATAACTATTGACTACCGAGCATAAGAACTTTAGTATTGAGTATCGAAAACACCGGTTGATGAATTTATTGTCAGAGTACAAAACCTCTAAAAATGTCTTGAGTGATCCATCAAATCAAAACTATAACAAGAGTGGATTTTGTCCAAGTATAAATAACTTCAAAGAAACAAAAATCTTCTGTCTGCGAATCACCTCCTCTCAAACTCAGCTTCATGACAATGTGGATCTAACCAGTCCTTAGGAGAAGATCTCTTGGCCATGCCGGCATTTGCTTTCCCTGCGCCAACAAGCTCCCTCAAGTTATCCAATTTATTCTCCCTACCTGTCCCACTATTTTTCTTATCGGCTTCTTTCAGCTTTTGCTTGAACCGCTGCTTCCGGTTCGATAAATTTGCCTCTTCCTTCTGTTTTGATTGTGAAGGAGGCGCCCCGTGCGGGCCAAGATAGATGTTCTCTTCCTTTTTCACCTACACGAACAAACAAATACAGGAAATATACAGTGTCAGCTCAACCAGTTTCAATATTTAAAGCCTACAGATTAACCAGTCATCCTAACACGAAACAATTCTTTCAACCGACCTTTGCAGCAGAATTTGATGGTTCTATGCTTGCAACATTTTCTTTACTTTGATCAGACTCTTCAATTCCAAGACTCGGAATCACAAATCCATCGGTGTCTACAATCAAAAACAGCCAACACAATATGCATTTAGGAACAAAACAAATATTCTATCAAGATGCATATGTAAAAAAAATCCCAATCGTGTAACACAAGAAATATTAAGATGAGTGCATCGCACATGAGAACGCAAAATCAAACCAACACATGCTTTCTAACTTCTAATCATCAACAACAACAACATCCAATTCTTATCCCACTAAGTGGTGGCCTATATGGATCAACGTTCGCCATAATGTTCTACCCAAGACCATACTTCTATCCAAATCATTAAATCTCGAAATTTTTCTTAATAACTTCTGTTATAGTCCCAACAAAGACAGGTCACTTCTAATAGCAGACACGCAACATCGTAAACTTCCATCTAAAACATATATCCATAGATATGCATCACATAAACAACACCTCTGAAAAAATGAGTGCCCGTCTGACACCAACACTTGTGATTAAGTTTAATTTATTCATTTTTTCAAATTATTACCAGTGTTTGTGTCGTGTCCCATGTATGTGCTTCATAGGTCCAAAATATAACAGAGTCAACCCTAACAAGACACTCTAATTTGCATTAAAATTTTGAATCAAACAGCATCACCATCAAATAAAGCTAGAACTACAAGTATTCGACAGGATCTGATCCTAATTAGCTAAAATACATGACACTCAATTACCCTAGAAAATAAAATTAAGTGGACATGAAAATCAATAACTGAACAAACTATAACATATAACAAATAAATCGATCCAAATAGCAAATATTTGGTATTGTGATTCAAACCAATTCCAACCTAAATTCAATAAACCAGTAACACTAAAAAAAACCCAATTAATTGACAGATACATAACTTTTATCCCAATTTTTTTTAGGGAAACACAAAAAGATCCCCTTTTTTTCATCTGAATTGAAAATACATACCCCACTCGTCTTCTTCTGGTTGAATGGGAGAATCAGAGTGTAGTGAAGAGAGATCCATGGAAAAGTGAAGACCATGGGTTTCAATGCGAAATGGGCGATGAAGCCCTATTGAAGAAACTGAGACCGAACACGCTGAGATTGATTCGATTTGGAAAACATAAACAAAATCAATTCTTGAAGAATCAATCTAGATGCGAAATTGATAGAGAGGAATTAAACCCTAGCTCTAGGGTTTCGGTGTGACTGAATTACCCTCGCTGATTTGGGGGGAAATTGTTCGAATGTGGATGTAGTAGTTCTCCGCTACTCAAGGGTACTTCTGTCATTCTAGTTTTTAAAAGGGATTCTTTCCTTATTATGTTATTCTTCCATTCTTCAATTTTCTTTCTTTCTTTTGAGTAGATTCATTGACTGATTTTTTATGGTAGATAAATATTATTCATTTTTATTTATTTTCTTGAAATAATTTTGTGGAATAAAATTATTAATAAAAAAAATTAAATAAATTGATCTTGTTATTAAGCCAATTAAATTGTGCAACGAGGAGTTTATCCCTAGTCTAGTGAATGAAAGGATGAACACTTTCCTTACCATTTTTCTTTTTATTAAAGAGATTTATGTTATTGTGTTCTCCTTGAACAAAGTTAGCATTTCAGGGCCACATGGCTTTTGTATTACTCTCTTTCAAATTTATTGGAATGTTATCGAAGATGTGTGTATAACTATGATATAGTTTTTCATTTTAGGTTGGATTCTTCCAAAGTTTAACTATAACACCTTTTTGTTCATTTCCAAAAATAAAAGTGTGGAGTTATTGGCTTATTATCGTCGTATTGTTTTATCCAACTTCAAATTTAAAATTATTACCAAAATCATTGTGGACGGATTGACATATATAATGCATAATCTCATCTCTATTGAGCAAAGAGGTTTCATTCAGGGTAGGAACATTAAAGACTGCATTTGTCTTGTTTCACGAGCGATTAATCTTCTTGATGCGAAAAGTTGATATGGTAATGTTGCTTCAAAGACGGACATCGTCGACCATTTGACACATTAAGTTGGTCTTTTCTTCTAAAAGTGCTTTAAAAGTTTGGCTTCAACTCCATTTTTTGTTATTGAATTAACACCATTCTTCATTCCGCTAGTCTCTCCATCTTCATCAATGGTTCCCTTCATGATTTTTTCAAGTAAGGAGACCCTCTCCCCCCTACTCCTCTGTTTGGTAGAAGATGTTCTCAGTAGAAATATTTTGCGTTGGTTTCTACAAGTAATGTTGATTTTATCACAAGCCCTAGAAATATCCAAGTTCTTTCTCACTTTTTCTACGCATACAAAATTTTTATCTTCGGTAAAAGTACGACCTTAGACATTAGAGCTCTTATCTCCATCTTCACAACTTACACTTTAGCTTATAGTCAAGTCCTAAGTCGTGAGAAATCCTCCATTCACTCTGGGTCATTGTCTACTTCCAGACTCAATATTTTGATTGTTTTAAAAGGTTTTAGCAAGGGTTCCATGCCTTTTAATTATTTGGGGGTGCCTATTTTTAAGGGCATGCCGAAATCTAAGTGTCTTAAACCTATTGCAGATAAGTTCTTATGTAAGTTTGCTTCTTGGAAATGTTCCTTTCTACCTTTTGCCGACAGGGTTGAATTGGTTAAATCAGTTCTTCAGTGCATGTTAATCCGTTCGGTGTTTGTTTATGCTCAGTTAATTGCTCTTCTTATGGGTTTGAAGTATTCTTCCAAAAATTTCATCTGGAGCAAAGAAATATCTAAAGGTAAATTGGTTATAGTGACTTGGATGAACATTTGAAAACCTTATTCAGAAGGAGGTTTGGGTCTTAGACCCTTAGTTAGTCTTAATGAAGCTGCCAACTTAAAGCTTTGTTGGGATCTCTCTAACTCTGACGAACCTTGGGCTATTCTTCTCAAAAGTCAAATTTTGAGAAATAATAGAGTTATTAATAACTACATATTCTCTTCTATTTGGTCTAGTATCGAACAATAATATTCAAATATCAAAGCTAATTCCTCTTGGATTCTTAGTAACAGTAGCTCCATTAACTTATGGTATGACTCTTGGTGTGGCTCCCCCGTGATTCTTGAGACGGGTCGCTCCAATATTGTCGAAGACTTTCCTGTTAACATGCTTATTCTTAATAAAAAATGGAGCATAGCAGAGATAAATCCTCTTATTCATGATTTCTTAAAAGACCAGATTTATAGCTTCCACATTCCTTTTGACCTCCGACCATACAAGCTTATTATGATTCAATCTTCTACATGTGATCTTTCTCATAAGGCGTTGTAGAAAGCTCAACAATTTGATTAAAGAGACTAAAATATCATTGACTTGGAATTTTATGTGAACACCTTCAATCACGAGTGACAATATTACATGTCGTATGCGTGGGGTAAGCAAATAGATTATAGTCCTGATGAAATTAATGCTTTACTTGATTTTCTCCCTTCACTTTTACATGGGATTTGAAACAAAATGGGTTGCAATAACAAAATAAGTGAGCAAATGTTTGAAACTATGAAGAATGAAATTTGTCGACCATGAGAAAAATGGGTTATTGTGCAGGGCATTCCACTGAGGCTCATCACAACATAAATGCGTCAATTCCATAGGCATGTACCTCATTTTTTGTTTGAACTCTAGAGGCAACTTCTAATAGTTCTGAGTTCATACTGAAGAGAGATTTGGGTCTAATGGCTATTTTAAACTATGAGGCTATAAATGTTAGGCGTCTAATGGAAAAAAATATCAAATACATGGTTGATGCAACACAACATATGCTTGTAGCCATTTTGTATAATTAACTAATTATGTAGGTTAGCAGATGTCCAAAGTTACAAGATGACGAAATGATCATTCTAGTGCAACCAATAATCTATAGTACCATTAGAAGGATACCAACTATTCATATTCATAGAGGTTTTCAAGAAAAATCCTAATATGAAGGCCAATATCATTTTTATCATCTAGAGATACAATAATATCAAGTAGATCCTCATCAACAACAATAAGCTCCTGATCATTTGCAAAGACTTGAAAAGCAAGATCTTAGGATGGAAAGTTAGGCCACTTATATTTCGTCTAACTTGTATGTTGACCCCCCCTGATTCGAACCAAAATTTCAAGAATATTTTAATGAGCATATAGATCATATGCCTACTCAAAATTTGAAAGAGAGGTTCGCCACTCTAGAATACATGGAAGCGTACTTTAGAGAGCAAAATCAAGCACTGACCCACATGAGAGACCGGATGAGAACAACTTGTGCTAGTCAAAGTTAGGCTTATGAGGAGAGTGTAACACTCCAAAATAATTAGATTATTTATTTAATTGATTTATGATGAGTATTTGTGATGTATTTGTGAGCATATGTGATATTTTGATGAATATGATGTGTGATGTGATGATATGTGTGCTACAATGGAAATTAAGTGATATTGGATGTTTTAATTATATTTTAGATAATTAGAGTAATTATTTAGAATTATTTTAATTAGTGAAATGAGATGATTTATTAAATACAAATAATAAGGGCAAGGTGGTAATTGGTGAAGTGATAAGTGAGGGCATAAGTGGAATATCATATTAGGGGTCCAAGGGATAAGTTTGACATAAGGAAAATTTAGGATTTAGAATGCTTATTTTGTACAATCGCACTTGGATAAGAGGCAAAGAGCATATCTAGGGCATTGAGGAACTCAGAGGGTTTCAGTGGAATGCGAAGGAGATTCAATTGTTAGCTATAATCTAAGATAATGGAGTTATCCTTATTATTATGATTGATATGGGGTTTAGAGGTATGTAGGTTGTTTGGGGTTTTATGATGAATTTGATAATATGATGATTATGATGAAATTGATAATGAAATTGGTGATAGATTGATGTTGTAATGGTATGAAATAATATATATGATACCCATCATGATGTGTCATTATTGTATCTGTGAAAACATGTGAATTATGTGAATTTTGTGTTTGATATTGTAACACAATGGGAGAACTGACTTAAGATGTTTTTGCGTTTGATCGCAATTATTACGGATAGCAAGAGTCACCACCGACTTTTCTTTTATCCCATAAGGAAAGGTTGAAAAGAACAGGAAATACCTTTCGAGATTATTTCTTGAGTTCGGAGGGTAGGTTATGGAAAGGGAAGGTATTAACACCCTTTTCATCCGTAGTTATCTACGGGCACTTAGTTGTTTGCTAGATCACTTGCTTTGTTTGAAAGTGTGCTTGTGGTGTGGGTTTTGAAAGTATCTTAAAAACGTCTTTGTAATGGTTCTCGTTTCTATAAAAACGCGTACAAAGTGTTGTTTAAAAAATAGTTCAAATAGGTGTTTGTGGAATGTGTTTTTTGAAAGTGATTTTAAAAAGGTGTCTTTGTAATGGTTTCCGTCTCTATAAGAACGCGTACAAAGTGTTGGCATTTTGAAAATGTTTCAAAATGAAAGTGTTGGTGTATAAAATATTTTGTTGTGAGCAAGCGAGAAATTAGGAGCAACCTACCTACTCAAAAGGTCTTAAACCTTCTTTTCCTCCTCCTTTAGATGTTTCTATATTACTATTGATTTGGTAAGAAGCCCCATCGTTAGATGTGAAAGGACAGGCGTGGGACGTTTGTATAGTCATAGAAGGCAACCTATGGGATGTTTTAGCAATGTCGTTTAGGGACTAGATCGTTTACCGAAGGCAACATTGAGGGTCATCGAGGGACTACGATCTTTTATTAAGGGTCTTTGCTAAAACACCCATATTCGAGGGACATGACTATTTTCCGATAGGCAACAAAATAGGATTACTCTAAGGGTTCAAGTGTGCAAGTGTGTTTGATTTACATGCATTTAGTCTTGATTAGGGTTATCTATTTGTTAATTTCATGTCTTACCATACACACCCTAATTACTAACAATATATGAAAGCAATAAAAGTGCGAAAAAGTAAAGTCCTACGCTATTACATCATTAAAGGGATGGGGTGTACAAATTTACAACGGGGATTGCAAGAAATTAAAGTCCTAGTTATCTATTAC